CCCTTTTTTATGTGTACAAGTATGGTATATGATTTAAAATTCTATACCTACATAATCCTTAAGCGGTATCTCAGTACAGAAAAAATGCTAAGTGATAGAATATTTTGTCCTAGTTTAAATGGCAGATATTTTTCTTCCTTAGTGGGACTTAAAATAATGATGTTTAGAAAGATGTCACAGATGATGAAATCTTTTAGTTCCTATTTGAAAGCACTTTTTCTGCCGAGAAAGGGGAGACTGAAATTGTGTCCAATGTCAGAATTTCTAAAAGAGGTCAGATTGACCTACAGGTCTCTGGGTCAGATGTGGGACCTGGAGCAGGCGGTTTGGCCTCTGGGGTCTTCCTGCAACTGATAGAGACGCCATGACCTATTGACAACTGGGTCATCTTAGCTCAAAGTGAGTCTCATCCAAAGAGGAATTTCTCTGTTCCCCATGTGGAATCCAGACAGATCCCTATGTCAGCGTGGGCCCTAACTCTCTGCCCAGGAAAACATTAGAAATACCTAGTGAACTGGCTGTAGGTGACCCATGTGGTGACATCCGCCAGCAGGGACCATGCAGGTGCTAAGACTTGTGCACCTACCGACAACAAACAGATGTGGCTGGTCTTCTGTGATTGATGCAGAGACCTCCACTACACTACCTGGTACAGTGGGGCCTTGACTTACGAGTGTCCCGACCAACGAGTTTTTTGAGATACCAGCTGTCTCTCGGCCGATTTTTTGCATTGAGTTGATAGAGTAATTTGAGTTAACAAGCTCCTTAACGAGCTCGGTCTTGGAACGAATTAAACTCATAAGTCAAGGCCCCATTGTATTGGTTTTAGGGAGAGGCATGCAGAAAGTCGGAACTGGATACCTCCCCAAAGGTGGGAAGGGTAACTGTGGGAAGACTGAAAGGTGAGTGAAGTTTTAAAATTGGAAGATAGGGGAAGAGGTAGCATTAGAAGTAAAAGTTGAATATAATTCTGTTGGGGATGTGCCTGCAACCAAGGTACATGCCCTTGACCAGAATCGAACCTGGGACTCTTCAGTCCCCAGGCCAACGCTCTATCCTGTGAGCCAAACCGGCTAGGGCATCCCTGTAGCCATTTCTGAATGGTGTGGGCATCCAGCAAAAGGGATCCCACTCAGATCCCACTCAGTGGTGCACTATCCTCCCTTGGCTCACCTCCAGCTGCCAGCTGCGGGGAGGAGTTAGTGGAATTCTCCCAGGGTCTCCTGCAATGATTTTTCCATGACATGTTTTTTCTCAGGAGCATTGATTGCAAGCTGACCTTTATAGCTTCCTTCATTCTTTCCCAAGTAAACAGTTTTTTAAAATATTACCATATGGATTTCATCCTTGTTCAGTATCCTACTGTGATGTTGATTTTTCCTACTTTTATGTTTCTTTGGTCATTTCAGGGGGGATCTGATAGACAACAGAGAAAGAGAATTAGATGCCTTTGTTCCAGTGGTGTAGTTTGAGTTTTTAATTTGTTGGGTTGTTTTTTGTTTTTTAACAGAAGTCTGGTCATCCTGCATTTAGGATATCTGCAGGACTTACAAAGAGAAACACAATGAAAATCAGTGATTGAATATTTGTACATGAGACTTAGGGCAGATCGGGGTTAGACATAGAAATTTGGGAGATATCAGCATGTGGTGGCAGTCAAGTCCCTGGAACGGGAGAGACTGCTTGGAGCAAGAGTTTCAAAATCTTGGAGATCTCAGTCCCTCTCCCAGAGATTCTAACTTACCAGGCCTATGGAGGTCTCCAAGAGTCTACAATTTTTTTAAAGCTTCCATTAAAAGATTCCTAGTATTGAGTATTAGGAGAAGAACTTGTAAGACAATGCTTCCAGTATGGTCCTATTAGTGTAGGAAAATTTTATGTCTCTGTGTACGCAGATATGTCGTTAGGATGGTGAAGATTTTGAAAAGTCATAGTGGGGGAAGCTGATGAGAAATGTGAGCATGATGAGGGGACAGAGAAAGTTGGACATCAATGCACATCCTTGGGCAACTTTCTCCTGCTTAGAAAGATGAGTGTGGACAGAAAGATGAGGGCTGGTTGGGTTAACAGAGTTGGGGGTGAAGCAAAGGACAAGGGCAGGACCCCGAGGTCTACAAAAGATGCTGGCACCTGGTCACAGCCTCATTCTTTCAAAACGTTGCCCCTCTAACCTATTCCCAACACAGCTGCTCTTCATCTTAGAACCATCAGTCCCTTACTGCCACCCATCCCCTTTCTCTCAGTCCATTTCTCCTTTAACAAGGGACTTTAGTCACTCTCTTGCCAGTAGCCCCCAGAAATAACTAGTTTAAGGTAAAATCACTAATAAGTGGTAATAAGTGGTGAGGCCATTCTGAAGGTGTGTGTGTGTGTGTGTGTGTGTGTGTGTGTGTGTGTGTGTGTGGTTGTTGTTTAACCACTACTTTATATGGCCCCTTTGGTTGGCATGGTGATGTCCCACCCAGACCTTGTTTAATGAAGGACTCAGTGCCCGAGCAGCTGGGAGACTTCTGCTCTCAGGCCCCCAGGGATCCGGCAGCTGCAGAGAGCTGCCTCACCCAAGTTCACACCGCGGCCTGGCAGGCCACATCCAGTGACTGCGCAGTGAGGGGGATAAAGGCCTGGCCCTCTCAGCCCTGCTTGGGACTGCTTTGAAGGGATCTTCTGTCTCCAGAGCATCCGGTGGGTCAGCTGAGTCTGCCCTTGGGTCTGCATCACAGCTCACCTTTTCCTCTACCCTTCCTGCTTCCTCCCCCTCCTGTCTGTGGGTGTGGATCCCAAGGGCACTCCTTAGTAAACTTGCTCCACAGAAAACTCTCTCTCAGAGTCTGTTTCCCAGGGAACCCAAACTGAAACAGCCTCTCAAAGAAACAAGAGCCAGACTCTGCGGTTACAGAAGTCAATACTTCTCACCTTTCCCAGAGACCCTCCAAAGTGTTTCAGAGAATGTCAGGCCCAGGGGAAGCTGGGCGCACCTGCCCGTGGTCACGGCTAGTCATTTGGGTTTCGGGTGCAAGGGCTCAAAAGAGAGGGTCTAATCAAGGGCTGAGCTAAGTCAATGCTCCCACACTAGGAATGGGGATAGCCTGCTGCCAAAGCTTCTCTAACTCTTGTCCCCCTGGTCATCTTTCTTGGCGGAGGCCAGAAGTCCTAATCTCAAATCCCTGGGTTAGACAGCCTTCAGATGAGGCACATGATAGAAATTTTCAGGCCCACATCTGCTACCCCATTGCGCTGTGATCTTGGTGACTGAGAAATAAACACATGACCGAGGCCAAAGCAAACGAATTTCAGTGCTTTTATTTCAGGTTCATTGTTTCCCTTACATTTTATCAGAATAAGAAGTCAAAACATGTCAGGAAAAAATCAAGGCATGCATCAGAAAATAAAATTTCATTGTTTTTTCAATGTGATTACGTATTATAGGAATGGAAAAAATGGGAAATGGAAAAGAAAATCAGTACTTATGTATTTCAAATTTTGCAAGCTTCTCCACTTCACATTTTAATTGCTCTTTTAAATCCATACAATCACTATATAAAGTAACTAAGTAAATGATTCAGGATATATTTCTTTATAATGTCTGAAAATTTGTGGTGACTGGTTTTCAATTGCTAGACATCTATGAAGATTTCATCTGTGCTAACCACTTAATTAGAAAAATATGCAAAGTAATACTATGGTGGAAATTTGAAAATATTTAATAGGAAGAAAAATTAAAGTTTCTATATTAAGAATGGAGTATATTTCATTTAATTAGAATATGTGCTGCCTTCTAATCCAGCTAATATACATTTCAGTCAGCAGCAAATTGAAGCCATATGTTATCAATGATCGCTCAGATCATTCTAAGTATATAATCTGTGTTACATTAAATAACCTTATTTAGGTAACTGCTTTAAACATTTTGTAGACTCAAGTACTTCTTAAAGTTTTCAGGTATTGATTTTCAAATCTTCTTTGTAGGTATAAGCCTCTCAGAAGGGCAAGCATAATCACGTTTCCTGCCCCGTCAGTCTTTTCCTTTGATAACCACCCCTGTTACTCTACCAGCCTGTCAATAAGCATTTAATGAGAACCTGCTGTGGGGCTGAAGGCTCTATGGGGGCCTAGAAGCAAACAAAAGATTAGGCCTGCCTGGAGAAGCTGACAATCAGGTTGCTGGTTTTCATGAGCATAAGCCAGCATGTATTTGCTTAATTTTCTTGTTTATCATCAGCAATGAAAAAGATGTGTGTTTTTTTAAAGGTGTACCATTAGCTCTGACACTGCCCTTAAGCTGATAGAAAATAGTTCCCATTAACTAACAACAAAAAAATAGTGACAAAGTTTATGTAGAATCCTGTGGTATAGTCTTCGGAGGTTTGCATAACTACAGATCAGATTTACATGATCAAGTACTAGACTGGTTTTTAATTATCCATGCATTAAGTAAAAATGTGTTCTAATTTTTCATGTTTTAGGAGTAAAATGTCAGGACATTTTTATGGTTTCCTCTGACTAGTAAGACAGGAGGGAGGTTCTTTGTGAGGATTTCCAACCAAGCCATGTACAGCCAATCTGATATAGATCCTTTTCTGGCCACCGGAAGGCTCCTGACAGCATGGAAGAAAAACAGAAAACAAAGGTGACAATTACTATAGACAGTAGCATCCTAGTTGTCTGAGCTATTTAATAAGCAGTGTCCTGAAACTTTTATACCTCTCCTCCCCAAAATGAAGGCACTGAAATTATTTTGAATATAGATATTACACCAATGTATTTCTCAGATAATACAAATAGCTATAAAGCAGAACAGTAGACTTAGGCATTGTAGAGACAAAACACAACTATAAAATTTCACTCCTCTTTAAATAGAAAACATGATCAACCAATACATCTCCCCCTTTTTTGGCAGAAATAATTTTTCTCAGTAGTTTAAAGCTCTTATATTTGGGAGAAACCTTAGAAACCAGCTATTAAACCACTCAGTTCAGGAGACCATTTTATATCTTTGATGGATAGGCCTCCAGGCTAGATCTTGCTTGAAGATATACTATCTATGTTTGTACATATGAGCCAGTTCATGAGCTATCAATGTGAAATAGTTGGAGATCTTCATATTTAGCTATCAATCTTTAGGTAAACAAACATTAAGATTTTCAGCAGGTGCACCCATAAAATTTGTGGGGTGAGGGTGTCACCTTGGCCTCTTCCTACACGGCAAGGAGGCTTATCAGCATGCAGTGGACGCCACACCTCAGGAGCACCTACCCAGAGAAGGGGCCTGTGAGCCTTGTTGGTTGGCATGAAGCTCGTTAGCAGGGAACCCAGGGCCAGGGTCCCGAAGCAGGCCTGGAGGGGCAGCCCGGGTTCTGGGTGGGCACTGCCCTGGACCTTAGAGCAAGTGGGGCCTTCTAAAGCCCCTGGGGCCCAGTTTTCTAGGTTTTAGGGTGGCATTTATTTGCCTTCACTGTCTAAAATCCCACATGTTCCTTTTTTTTTTTTTAACTTGGCACCTAAATAGGCATGAGCTTTTAAATTGATTAACCCATTCACTGAAGGTTTCTCTGTAACGCTCTTAAATGTCTGCAATGATACTTACAGGACGATGAGGTTAGCAGCTCTCGAGTGCTCCTGTAAGAGTTCATTCAGTCGAACTTGGCGGTAACTCTGTGGACAACATTCAGATTTTGTTGAGGGCTGTTTTCCCAGAATTATGAATAAGAATTTCTCTTCTTACCTCAAATTATGGACAAGTAGAAAAACCTCACTTTAAAAAAATATTACAGTTATTTCATTCAGGTTTGGAAATGTACTGTGTTTTAAAAACTCATGAGAAACTTTAGAAATGTAAAGAATAAAACCAGACTGTCCCTGTGCTGTCGTGGCTCATTAAACTCTCAGGCGGGGAACCAAGCACAGCACATGGATGACAGGAAACAGTGAGTGACCAGTTCTGGGACTAGAATAAAAGAAGAAGAAAACTAACCTAATCTTGATACCAATTTGATATTTTAAGACTATAGATTAAATATTAACCTACCTTTCTTTAAGCTCTTTGGACATTTTGCCAGTATAGAGAACTGGTTTCAACTAAAAAAAAATCACCGAAAGACTAACTTGGGAAAAGACTTACAATGAACTATTTTGCAGTGATAAGAGTAATAATATATATTGTTATTATATTTCACTGGTTTCGGAAATGTGATTCCAGATACGCAATTTGCTCAATTATATGAAAAGTCCTTGTTAGAATTGGGCAGTTTATTACACACAAAGTTTATGATCCTTAGCTCAGTAAGTTTTCTACTAAATTTGAAAGGTTTTTACTATCTCTTGCTCTAATTTGTTCCAACTTCAGCTCCTAATGTAGTTTATGTACATTTTGTAGTTTAGAGGTCCTTGTAGTCCTTTCCCTTGAATGTCCAATCCAATTCAAATGCCAATTATTCTACTTTATTCTATTTCCCTGCCCTTTTCAAAATCTTCTCATCATCATGACTCCATTCATTGCAGGCCAGATGGGGTTAACTCCCATCTTGGGGGGTTTTCTAGAAAAACTCAGCATTTTATACCCATCCTATAATGTGTGTCTGATCCAACTTTCAGCTTCCTCATACAAATTTCATGTTTTCTCAGGTCCCTATGCTAGTTTTCATTGCTATCTTTACCAGGTTAAAACAAACACTTTGTTATTGGTCAAATTGTGTGTCTATCTTTATCTACTTTGCATACATATTGACTTAAATTATCTTAGACTGATGGGTCTGTCTCCTATAAAATTAAACTTGCGAGATTTAAAAATATCTATCAATAACCTGTGTTTCTTTAAAAGGAATTGATTTTATATTAATGAATAAAAAATTTTCTAAATCCTCACATCTGGTAATATAATTGAAAAGCACTTGAAAAACAGAGGAACCCTGGATCTTAAATAATGAAATCCTATAACAGATAAATTACTTCTTGATCTTTAAATCAACCACTGTTTTCTTTTTTGGACAGTTAGAGAGAGAGTCGAAATTAGGGAAGACAAGTCTACCTTTTCCTTGATTGCTTCCAGTTCTGCATCTGTGATTTTCCATGGAGTTTCTCTCTTTAATTTCTCAGCAGTTGTTAAATCTTTGCAGCTTTCATGGAGACGGTATGGTTCTATCATCTCTTCAAAGACTTTCCAGCTGAAATGGCAAGTATAAAGGAGGCCTCATGGTGGGAAGCTAACGCATTATTTCACAGATACTCTAGGTTTGACTGGCTCTGCTGGCTGCAGATCAGAGCTGCATGTCATGCAAATCTTTTAAGAGTTATCTTTGCCAGGGACACGCTGTGAGTAAAACTGACTATAGTGCTGCCTCCCTATCTAAGGAAAGGCCTTAACAGGTTTGAGGCCTTGTTAACCTTTTAGGTCTTAGATCCTCAGTTTAAGCATACAAACACATAGAGAGTAACTATTCTGCAAGTACATTTTCTATGTAGTATAGCCAAAGACACAGTTGTTATGTAGACACTTTAGCCCATAAATGAGTTTCCATCAGCTTATTTTACAGATTCCATGAAAGACCTGCATGAATTAATGTAGGAGATAAACTAGGTTCCTTAGGATTTGGGTAGGGCTGCCCTCCTCACCTTCGGTCCACATGGCAACTCCCACTTGTGGCCGGCAGGAGGCTCTGGGCAGGTGGGAGAAAAGCAAGGGCTCCCACAGGTTTCATGGCTATAGAACTATTTGAATGTTGGCTGCAGATCATGCAGCCTTTGTCTTTCTGCTGTTGTTGCCTGAGCTTTTCAAATGACTATTGTTCAGGTGCATGTCAAAAGAAAGAACAAAAATCAATAATATTTTAATGTCTAAAAACCTGAGGCCATTTTAGGGTAATTAAGAAGAAATCATCTAGTAGAAAACTAGTAGTAAGTCAGCACTGTGTAACATTTTAAAAATTGCTGAAAAATCTCTCTTTCATAACAACTTCATAAGATCTAGTTTTTAAAATGATAGAGCAAAACAAAGCTTATTGATTTATGAGAGTAGTTGTCTTTGATATGCAACTCCAAGATGATCTCAAATATACTTTTCTTCTGTTTTATATAAAGTAGCTTACTTATAATTTAGTAACTTTGGAATGAGTGATAATTAGATTCAATGTGCCATTTGTTAGGCTAAGAAATAAAATATGAAGCCATGAGTTCAATGATCTCCTCAGTTGGGGTGATTTGGGATTCTCAGATCAAAGTGCACCGATTACAAAGGAGTATGCGTGCCTAGCGGTGTGCCTTTGTTGAGGATTGGAAAGATACTTAAAGCAGTAGGTTTCTGACAAGTTGGCTTATTTAGAATGGGAGACAATGACAAGGAAGGAAGAAAATTGATATGCCCTGTTATTCTTTCGACCACACAGTACTTCTACTTGCAGTTCATTCCAACAGTGCTGGGCTTTCAGAGATCTTTGGTGGTAATCAGTGAAAGGTGCTGGCCTAGGAGAGAAGAGCCTGGGTTCTCTCTCCAGCTTTTCCACTGTCCTCCCTCAACATGGGTAACCTGGCTATAAAAGGGGGTGACGATGGCTGCTCAGAGCTGGCATGAGGATTGGTATGAGGGTCTGTGTGACGATTTGGGTGAAAGTGCTATGAAAAGTGTGCAGTTCCTGTAAAATCAAGGCATTCATTTACTGCACAGACACAGGACTGAGGTTAGCAACTCAGAGGCTCTCTGTGTAAGCTCCCCATACACCTATACCTATTTTTATCAGGATAAGAGTTTTCTTTGCATCTTAGTCCAGGTGCAGAAAGACCAGTTCAAAAATAGTTTCCTAAGAAATAGAAGATGGAATGAAGGTTGCTGGCTGTCTCCTCGGCATTTAAACTATGCTTCCCCATTATAGTCTGGTGGGAATGACTCCATCCCCAGCATCAGCCAATCAGCACAATTCTCCGATTCCTTCTGCCAGAGTGGTTGGTCAGCATGGGCACATAACCCAGCCATGCCTGATGAACGAGGACCTAGCATTCCACTTGACCATGGCGACTGGTGCAGTGACTTAGATTGGTACAACCTAAGTGGTGCCTATGACCTGAATTCAATGACTGGAGAAGACACAAACTTTCTCACTGAACACAAATTAGCAAATATGTAGTCCTGGTTGCCATGAGCAGTCATCTTATTTTTATTAGCAAAATCAAATTTGACTGATGATTTCATAATGGAAGGTAAAGTAGAGAGAATGAAAGAGAATTAGTCCTTGGCTGCAAAATTTACCATACAGATCAAGATTTGTCTGAAAGCCAAAATACACTTGGATTTTTCAGTGATGTTTGACTGAACATAATTTCTATTACTTAAGTCACTATTCTTTTACATGCAATTGAAATATGCTAGAGTGACACAGAAGGTTATCATGGGGTTGTATTTGCCCAGTTGTTTTCTCCGAGCCCTTAACTGCTCTTGGCCTATGTTCATCTTTGATTTCTTTACCCTAAGGTTCGCCCTAGAGCTGGTAATTTTCTTTCTTGTTTTTTTTTAATCCTCACCCGAAGATATTTTTCCATTGATTTTTAAGAAGAATGGAAGAGAGAAGGAAAGACAGAAACATTGATGTGAGAGAAACACATCAATTGGTTGCCTCCTGCAAGGGCCCCAACCAGGACCTGGGCCAGGGAGGAGCCTGCAACTAAGGTACATGCCCTTGACCGGAATTGAACTAGGGACCTTTCAGTCCGCAGGCCGACACTCTAATAATTTTCTATCTCCTAGCTAGGTGATCCAAAAATAGCTCAGGATTCCTATTTTGATTCTTATTAAATGTAATTTTCTTATATTTTTTAATCAACTGTAGAGTAGGCCAAGCATTACATGCTATTAAAAATAAATGAGAATTAATTCAATTAAATTAATTCTCAACTTTTAGCTGCCCCTGCCTTCCCCATCTTGTTCTTCATAATAACAAAGTTTAAAATTGTTTTAATTGTGTACAATTTTGCCTTAATTCATATAAGATTTCTTCTTTCCAATTACTGTACATAGCTGTTTTTTATGACCACTCTAGCATCTTTAAATTATCTAATTAATTGCTTCTAGTTTCTCTTTGATTTCTAGATAAAATTTGTTGTCTTTTTGGCCTCTGACTTTTAATTCAGTCTATACAATAAAAAATGAAATCTAATCATGAGAGCTTTTCCATTTTTCCTGGCTCAATTACTTTCTCATTAAATTTGCTTTTGTACTCCCTCTCACCCTTGTTCTATCATATTATAGATAATGTTTCTATGATAAAATGTCTCCATCAAGACTTACTGATGTTTTATGGGTAGTTGAAAGATTTATTAAACACAATTTAAGGGCATTTAACATCAGCCTCCAACATGGAAATTGCTAACAAACTATTTTTGGTATCCTGTGCCCAAACACAAAAACAAAAAAACAGTGATCAGGAGATAGTTGTTATTAGTGGATGAGGACTGCCCAGCCAAGAAGGCCCAGGTGGGAGCTGGAATTGAGTGCTCTAGCTTTGGGCCCTGGGCCCAGGGCTGCACCCGCCCAGAGAAAGAGTTCTCTTTCTCTAATTGAACCGAGGAGTTGCCTTTTTAAATGATCACAAAAGTGCCAGATGTGCTACCAGTGGCCACAGGTAAGATTTACTGAATTACTAGTCTTTGTTCTAAAATTTACATTCAAATATTGGAACAGTCACTGCCAACACCAGGTATGTGACTGCTCTCTGAAGTAATATGGCATCACTTAGAGCCAAGTCTGAAGAGAGGAAGAGGGCGCTTCCAGCACATCTTAGTATGAGGGCATATTACTGCAAAAGTTCTTTAATTCCAGTAAGAATGACCCCCTCTTCCCCATCTTCCTCAACACTTTGAAATATCAGGAAAAAAATACCCAAGGTTGTGAAAACGAATTCATTTTTTCCTGAGAAAGGGAAATAATCTCTTCATTGCAGGATGAAGAGGCTACATAAGAAACACCCAATGAAAATGGTGTCTAAAATCAAATTTAAATACCAGGAACAAAGCAACAATGCCTGGGTCTCTGCTTCTTACTACAGTTCATAGAGTTTAATCCCTGAAAAGTGGAAACCATGGCACAGAGGTAGTAAGATGAAGAGTGGCTTGACTATTCTGGGCAATCAAAGAATGAAGAGGTATGGTTAGTGGAAGAGGTTCATCAACATTCTCGGTGACAGGACAGAAATGTCCCCAGTAGGGGATGTGCGGGAGGCAGCTGATTGATGTCTCTCTCTCATCGATGTTTCTGGCTCTCTATCTCTCTCCCTTCCTCTCTGTAAAAAATCAATAAAATATATTTTTTAAAAAAGAAGAAATGATGGGTATGAAGGGGTGACCATGGCAGAGACTAGCATGAAAGGAAGGGAAGGAAACAAGGACTTGGGTAGAGAAAACCATGTTGATGGGTAAAGAGGCAAAGATATAGGAATAAGTTAATAAGAACAGACAGTCCTTACTTAGCTGTTGATAATACAAACAAGAAGAAGAAGAATTCAGCTATAAGTAGATGACTAATTTGTACCCAGGCTTTACAGAATATCCAAAGTCAGTAGGATACACTGTGACTACCCTTCAGACAACAGTAAATGGCCCTGTACTTGCAGAGCATTGTCAGGTTCTGGCCTGCTCCTAAGGGGCACATACTAGGGACTATTGGACCTTGTGTGTTATGAAGGAGAATGCATTTCCACCAGTTAGAGCCATACATGAGCACATTTGATCACATCACTGCAAATGCCAAGAGCAATGACTTAGGAATTAAAATTCTTCAAATGCAATGTGGAAGGCTACCAGAGTTTATTGCATGAAAACCCAGTTCATATCAAAATATTAATTCCACTTACAAAAGGAAAATTATATATGTGCTCTTAATTTTTACTAAGTATTTATAACTATAGAAATATAGGAATGCATTAGTGGTATATATATGATGTGAGGAAATATTGCATAGTAACAACCCAGGTTGACCCTGTCGATTATAGCTAACATAGTTAAGGTGTTTTGTAAAGCCATCTTAAGTGACCTCATAATGGAGGAATCATGAATACCCTCAAACAGCGTGAAGTTCAAGCGGGTTGTTCAGTAAATAATGCATCCTAAATTTGGATGATTTTCAGATATTAAGCTCATATAGGATAACAATCAAAATAAGGAAGAGGACGAAGACTTGAGGAATGTGAACGGCAACCCAACAAGAACAGGAAGGAGAAATGATGGTCAACAGAAAGGAGAAGAGGTCTCACCGGCAGGTGAGGACCTGAGACACACTGAGTCCTTTGTGACTCTCTCCACTCTGACCCTTAGAGGCCTCATTCCACACCAAACCAAACACATAAAATCACATCCAGATGCAATAGTAAACATGACTTTGAACTGTATACAATCAAAAACATAATTGCTAACTTATCACTCTAAGTAGTTCACTGAACTTACAATCAGCTATAATTTACAGATAATCTTCTTGCGTCTCTGGGAACTCCTGTGAAGATCTAACCTACAAATTTTTTTTAAGTATCATGGACGTGACAAATTCAACAACCAAAGAGGGATAAAATGATATCATGTTTTGAAGACATTTAAACAATTATTTGTATTTTGCCATTTTAAAATTTTGGAGCCAATACATTTCCTTGCCAGGCTTCAGATAGTTTTAAAGAACGCCTTTGGGCCCTCAAGGGCTCGAAGTGTTGAATCGTTAGTGCCTAAAAGCTCAAATGGCCATGGAGGGCCAGTACTACTACCATTGTGCCAAGACACAAACTGCTTCCACATCTTCTCCACCGAAGCTCTCCAGCCGGATGCCTCACCAGTAAGGTTAAATAATGAAACCTCGCCCTGACTGCTCAGGTTAGAATCCTCTCAGCATGTACTTCCTGCTAATCTTGCCACCACAGACACCAAGAACAGGAAGGGCAATGCTACAGTGTCAACTAAACTGTGTTCTACAATCCTCCCTCTCAAGCTCATCTTCACCACACAACTTTTCCTTCCATTAGAATGTACTTGATAGTGCTATCTCATGATTATTTGAAGTCCCTTTTAAAAATAAAAACTATCAGAAAGTCACTGCAATAAGTAAAAATGAGAGAGTAGCACCGATTTTAAAAATGGACCTTGTTAAATGTTTCATACCTTTCTTTGTTTGGCTTCATGTTGATGTCACCAATAACATGGATCTCCGCAAATTTTATCCGAAATTTGCTCAGAAGGGAAGCCATTCTGAAAATAAAAGAAAAAAAAACTTTGTCATGCCATATTTAGCTACTTTTCAATCAAAGAGTTTTGTGTTTAAGCAATCATGTTTTATTTCTACTTAGTTTTCAGAAAAGGCTTTGGTTAGTGTTTGATTTTCATGATTGTACTTGATGAATATAGGAAGTGCGGACCAAGCTATTCCACGGAAGGCAAAGAGAAACTCCTGTATGTGCAGTCTCTGGACATAGCAAACCCAGTTCTGCATTTACGTTTCAGGGAAAATAATGTGGGGCTCTCCAAGTGTCATTATCCTTTGAAAACAGGACAAGTTTTAACATTTAGTGCCTTTTATTTTGCTGATGATTTTGGGGGTTTACTGACAAATTGGTAATTATATTGTGGACCCTAAGAAAAGAGGTACTTACCAAGAAGGGCTCCTGGTGGCTAACTGGGCTCAGATGTGAAAGCAGGGCCGAGCGGCGGTTTCTAAGCAGGGCCCTCTCCCGCAAAGTGCACTTCAGGGAAAAGCCTGCCCTCCTGAACTCCCTGCTTCCTGCACGGACCTGCCTGCCTGCACTGTGTTCCTGCCATCCGAGCCGGCCCTTATGAAGAAATTATTGGAATTGTATTTCAAACAGTAGGACTGAAGCTTTCTCAGTCTCATCAGAGCTGCATAGCTATAGCATCTTCACTGACGTATTAGAGCAGCTCCATTCAGACCAATCAAAGCTGTGCTTTTTGGACCAATCAAACTATGAGGATTTGGAGTGCTCATTTGCATGAGGACAGACAATCGGGGACCAGGGGTGGGAACTTCTCTCTACTAGTATAACAGTCCTCTCCACTCTGGCTTGGAGACTGCACTGTCCCTATCCACCAAAGACAGAGAGCGCCTTTTCCCAGCTAGGGCTGGAACACCGAAGTCTCACTGGAGCAGGGCAAAGCCCAGTAGGAAGAGCAGACTGGCATAGAACAGGTCAGCACAGTGCAGGTGGAGGTGCAGCAGAGCCTCCTCGCCCCAGGGCACCTCACCCCAAGGCCATCTCACAACCATGCTGTTCCACGGCTGTGCTGCTTCAGAGTTGGGCTGTAACACAACTGAGCTGTGGCACAGCCGAGCTGTTCCTGTCAGTTGTGCTGTATCACAAAGGAGCTGTTTGCACTGAATCAAGTTTCCTTCTTCACTGCACCCCAAATTTGGGATTCCTACTGGCACTGAATTGATGCCAACAACCATCAATTGACAATATGTTTTTATACATTGGAGGTTTTACCCCCTGGCAAGTGTACATTTTTATATAATTTGAAAGTTATAGAAAAACTGCAGGGATAGTGCAAAGAAATCCCAGATTCATCAATTGTTTATGATCTGCCCCATTTGATTTGTTATTCTCCTTTCCTCTTTTTATATGTGCCTATATCTACACCTTTTTTTTCTTTTTCTCTTTCTTTCTTTCTTCCTCCCTCCCCCCTCCCTTTCTTTCTTTCTTGCTTTCTTTCTTTTCTTGCTTTCTTGCCTTCTACCTATCTGCCCACCTACCTACCAAAGACATTCTCTTATAGATAGTACAATTTTTGAAATCAGGAAATTTAACATTGATACCATACTATCATCTAACCCACCAACCAGTTTCAACTTTTATCAGTTGTCCCAATAAGACACTGGAGGATTTAAGAAAATATAATCGCTATAGACATCATATTTGTTTCCAGTTTATTACGGCCCTCTTTAAGAGAAATTAAATACACAAACCTCCTAAGAAGGGGGAGAAAATATAAAAACATCACTGAGTAAGAGCCCATCATGATTTTGTGATTTCTGGGAGTAGGTTCCAGGGAGGGCTCAGGATTTGGACATGCCCCGAGGGACTGAGGGCTGCTGAAGGTCCCGCCTCAGGTTTCCTCCAGAGACCTTCGGTTGCACCACATTCTCCGCACACTTGCTATCCTCACAACTACCCATTAGTGCTTCACGAGTAAATGAATAAAGATACAGACTAATACTGTGCTTTTAATTGGAAGGTTTCTTAACCTACAAATGAGACCCAGATATGAACATAGTGACTGTGACCAAGTGCTGCAGCTCAGAGGTTGAAGAGCTGGGAGGAGGACCAGGTGTCGTCTCTCAGTTATCTTTGAAGTGAGCTGTGCTAGAGTGACTACTGGGAATGGACAAGTTCAAGTCTCTCAGAAAAAGCTACTGGACATAAATTCCTCAGGTGCTTCCTTTCTGGGATACACTTACTAGTCAGAACATTGAACATTATACAAGACTAGAGGCCCGGTGCATGAAAATTCATGCACTGGGGCGGGGGGGGTCCCTTAGCCTGGCCTGCCCCCTCTCACAGTCCTGGAGCCCTCAGGGGATGTCCTACTGATGGCTTAGGCCCGCTCCCCACAGTCTGGCCTCCCTCTGCGGGAGGCAACCAGGCTGATCAGGGGAAGGTGCCGCCCTCATCACCCCACTGTTACTGCCTTGCCCTTGGCCCTCGCAGCCGCTGTGGTGGCTTTGTCCAGAGGGCGTCCAGTCTATCTGGTCTAATTAGCATATTACCCTTTTGTTAGTATAGATAATGACACTCATTCAAGACTGAGACAAGGCTCCTTTTTGAAAGCACTTGTGGCAGGGGATAATGGACTTGAAGACAGTGATTAGAAAACTTGCACAGATAATTTATTGACCAGAAAGCCAAGTTACCGTGAGGCCTATCATGGAGGCTTTGTCTTTATATTGGTTCTACCTCAAAAGACATGCACACTTCTTATAAATTTAAGTATTGAAACAATAAGCATCCAAAATGTTCTAACACACGAGTGATAAGTTACTTACGCAATTTTTTCTTCTTCAATGCGGTTAACCTTCCCTCCGACATAAATTCTTAATTTACAGTCTTTCCATTTTTTTCTGAGAGTCAAGATATAGGGGATAAGGAGTGTTAGCCCTGAAAAAAAGAAAAGAGTAAATTATGACAGAAAAGATGAGTATATCCAGCTGAAAGGAAATTAATGGCTTTCCCTCTTTTTTCATTCCCACATCCACAGCTCCTAAATCATTTAAGGTCTTAAGAGAACACAGAAATGTTATTCTTTAACTCGTATCTTTTTCAGATACCTCCCCATGCTGTTTGTTAAATTTATCAACACAGAAATTCTGCTCCCTAGTGTACATTCCAGAAAATTTTACCTCCATCATCAAACAGCCACCAGACATCAATTGTGCCCTTTCCTTGCTTCTTCTTAAATTGGGCACTGGCTTCCACCAGCTTCTGGTTGAACTCCCCGACGTGCATGGACTGGATGGTGTTAATGCTGCCGTCTGTAATGAAAGAGAAAGCAGCACATCCATTAGTCTTTTGAGGAAAGAAACAAAACAATGTTCCAATAAATCTATTCAGGAAAATAGAGGAAGGGTCATGCATTCCTAACTGTTTTTTATACTTATAGGTAAATAGTGAGCTCTTTTCTCTGAAAAGGGGAGATAAAGGTCGAATCCCACAGTAAAATATATCACCTTCAGTAGTTCAAAAATGTTTGATATAAGTTTTACGGTTATACTTTTCATTGTGGCTTATTTTCAGGTCCTTAGTAATTGGTCTCAGAGTGAAATTATTACTTAGACATAGAACAACGCTAAATTATCTTGAAAAGAAAAATCTTGATTTCTCTAAAAGTCAGATATGACTCAATTTAATCATACTTTCAGATTTACTTGAAAGTAAAACATGGGATGATCAAGTTTTCTGGAAATAAGCAAGTGAATTAGAAGTATTCCTTCATTAGGCTATGCAGCCACTTGAGTGCAGTTTGGGTGTAAATTCCATGAATGCCTGGATTGTAAAGGCGGCCAGGGATAATGTGCACCTTGACCTAGTATGACCCTTCGGTTCGAATGCCAGCCTGCTTTCTCCTCTGCTTTCTTTTCAAGGATCTGTGAAGCTAAGATGAAGCCATCTGAGCTATTTGAATTTCTGTGAATGAGATGAAAAAGCCAGGAAATACGGAAAGAGAAAATTCCTTTACTTGAGCTATACTTAACAGTGCATATAAAATACTTAAAAAAATTTTAATGCAATTTCCAACCTAACATGGACACAATGAAAGTGTTCTAGGGAACTAGGCCAGTGGTTGAAGCGGACCCTTGTTTCGTTTTGCCAGCAGGGGTTTCTTTGTTACACTGTATATATTATTTCTTATTTCCATGTCTTTCATAGCTGCGACTGTATTGCTTATTTCAAAGAGATGGTGTCACTGTGGTGCTTAGAGAAGAGCCGACAGCCGCTCAGAGCTTCCTCTCTGATCTAAGGGGTTCTAAAGATCCTTTGTTCTGTCTTTTGCTGTTTTCATGTTTTGGGCCTGTCCATTCTGAAGCAATTATCTTATATTGTTTTTATCTCCCTGGGACTGCTGATGGAGAAAGTAAATGCATTTACGGATTGGGCCAAATTCTGCCCCCACTTACATGTATGTATATCAAAGCATCCAGAGGACTCAAGTATGAGCACCTGGAGGCAGAGTTGGTCTTGATCTAGAACTCAAAGCGTTGTTAACCAACAAAAGCCCAGAGCAGTGAAGGGGCCTACATGAGAGCTGTGTCTGAAATTTTAGATGTTGAGTATAAAACATAATATTATTTTGCTTTTCCAAACAATGAGACATGTTGACTTTCAGAGGAGCACATTTTTGCCGAAAGTATTGTGATGCAGAAACAGGTTTCAGAATAATAACAAGTCCCCTTTTCTGAGTAAGTACATTAATGCTTCTCTGCTCCCTCTCAGCTCCTGAATAGTATTGGGCTATGACTTTGAATTTTCCATTGCTTTGCAAGACTCTACTATTGAATGGAGCAGATTCAGTGGATAGGTAACTCTTCTCGTGAATAAACCAAATATTTGGAAAGGAAAAGATAGTAGTTAGCATCCAGATTGTCTTATTCTAATATTTACACCCTTGAAGTCCTGATATACCACTCACTTAATATTGAAACACATCATTTTCTTAGAAAATGGGTATATATAAGAGCGACAATACATACTTGGCTCTCTTGATAGCCCATGCAATAGTTCAGGTACCCAAGGGTACCTCTAGTATTTGAAGGCATATATAAAATTTTATCCTTAGGATATAGTAGGAAAACAAGGAAACAAAACCAAACCCTTTCCAGGGTAGGAGATAGCCTCTTCAGGAGGCTGGATCCTGCCAGCCTAATCCAGAAGCCGGCTAAATCTCAGTTAAAACACCAGTGAATGACTTCAGAAACGATGGGATTCTTTGTGCATGACAGAAATAAATGTTAACATTCTAATTTTCTACCAGCAGAGGTCGCTGTGGACCTCATTAACCTCGAACTGCAGTGTTTACGGAAAGAGCAATTTTCAAAAAATAAAACATCAGATGTTTAGTTCACCTGTTTATGAAATTTATAGCAAGATTTCTCATTTTCTGGCCCTCTGTTCCTGGGGCGTATATCTGATATTCAGATATAAGTGCGCTACTCAGCCAAAATCTACAGGTAATTAGTATCAATAAAGTTCAAGTCCAGAATTCTGGTCTGTGACAAAGATGCTTTTCTGAAATTGGAATTCTAGCTGGATCTCTCATTCAAACACCTGAAATATCTGCAAGGGGTGCGTGTGTGTGTGTGTGTGTGTGTGGTGAGGTTGGGTACTGGTTTGTAAATTTTAACCCTTTTTCATCTTAACTAAGAAATTTCTGTTTCATGGCACTCAATCTGCTCCCTCACCACATATAATTTTGAAAGAAAGTTTTTACAGTACGACAGTACAAAGGGCTTGGCATTATTGCTAAATGACAATAGCTTCTACTTTTCACCCATACGACCTTCTTGAAAAAATGTCTTCAGTTCTTAGTCAAGGCCTCCAACATCTTAGATGCTGACTTCTCACCCCTGCAGGTACTGAAGTCTGTAGGGGGGTTCACCTTGTAATATATCTTATAAATGCAGCAGTACTTACCTTTCTTAGAGGTTGGCTTAGTGATGTTCAACTTGCCCGCTTTTTTAAACAAGCCCCGGATGCCTCCACCTCCTTCTTCACTTTCATTGTCTTTGATCGTGGCTTCCAAAGCCAGCCTCTCCTGCTCTAATTTCTCCAGTTCATCTGATGAGAGAAGACACAATCGCTTACTAAACGCAGAGAGAGAACGTTTGTAGGAACACTCTTCTATGCTACTTTAATATTAAACATGGAACATGTGCAATAACATGATTATTATATGATTTTTTCTGAATGACTATTAAAAAGAAATGTGTATCAGTAAATTATACTCAGAAAATAATAACTACCCAGAAAATAGCTCTGTGTTAATTATAATATGTGAAGTCACTAGGTTTTTTTTCTAAGGGCTATTTCATGCCATCTTTTTGCCCTTCTGGCAAAAACCAAAAAGCCAGACCCACTGGACATAAGAGCTTATACACCGAAAGCCACTTATTTCCTGACCTGAGTTGCTGCGTCAGATATTTTACAGTGGAAGTGACAAAATTGCAGAAGTATACTGGGTATACTGTATAGCAGGCACACAACAATGCCTCCTGAACTGAAACAGAAAACTAGAGAGCAAGAATTAAGAAAGATAACCAAATCTTATAATTAACTTTACAGGCTCTGAATGCAAATGACAGTGAACAAGATCCACCAACAGTTCTTCCCAACAAACAAAACACTTTCTGGAGTGACCGAAGCGAAAGAAATAAAAGCTGCGATGTCTTGTGCCTGCCTGGACTCACATTACTAAAAAGGGTCTCAGGGCACTGAGTCTGGAATAAGAGTCGGGCTGTGCAGAATTTCCTGCCCGTGGTTTGGGTCCACTATCCAAACTTGGATGTTGTGACTGGCTGCCTTTTATCTTTTTTGGATTCTGATTGTGACGAAAAATTCCTAGCTGCCATGTAATGCGTTGCATCATTCTCTGACCTCAGCCTGCGTTGGATCAGGTAAGTAAAGACTTCAAAAGCAGTCAGATGGCGGTGCTAAGGAGTGATGGGCTTTTCGCTCACAGCGAGCAAGGTGGCCCTCTTGTCAGACCCCCTCATCGTCTTGTCTGCTGAGAACACAGCCGTAGAAAATGAGCAATGTTCCGAGACAGCGAGCAGAAAACCGAGATCCAATGATAGGCAACACTGGTAGGGCTTCTGTAAATGTCAGCCCTCGGAGGCTGTTGCCTTATCTATCTGGGAAGCGGAGCTATACAAACTCTGGATTTATCAATTATGCACTAACTAAATCTGTCAGGACAGGCCCATCCCTAGACGGCGCTGTTATTCAGCTGCACGGAATTGTCTGGCCCCTTTCCAGGTCTTAGCAATTAATCTTTTGCCAGTGGCATGAGATTTAAGGTCAAATCACCCATGTGATTTCCCCAAAGCTTCAAAGGTTCTCAAGACCAGCGGCTATAGAAAATCTGGGAAATTAGACTGATGGTATTAAAACTCAGACAGGAGGTGCTTACCCCTGACTTTTGAAAGGTGAACGCAGGCGGCATGGCACAGGGAGGTCATGACCGATTATGGCTCTGCTGCTGGCTTTATGTGACATGAAGCAAGTCATTGATTTTCTCTACGCCTCTGATTCTCTATCTGTGAAATGGAAAATCGTAACCTTCCCCTTTCCCTCGCACTGCAAAAAGAATAAGCAACAGTTCTTGCACGGGGCTTCGGAGCTCCTTAAAGAACAAAGCAGCCAGCGCATTCTCTAGGCCCAGTGTTTATGCAACTCCTGGAAATGGGCTCAGTCATGCAAAGTAAAGTGAGCATTTTGGAAAGCCAGGGGTTTATTCTAGCAGTTACTGTTTATCACACACTCTCCGGGTGCTGGGGACTGTGCTGCATGCTATTCTGTTATTCCTCAGCAACATCTCTGAGCTAGTTACTATGATTATTCCCATTTTGTGGATGAAGAAAGCGAGGCTCAGAAAGGTTGAGTCACCTGTATGATGTCACCCAGCAAGTGTCAGGGCTCAACCCCAAAGAGGTCTGCTTGATTCCAAACCTGCCGGCTTCCGACTTTGAAGACCATTTGCTTTTGGCTTATTACTATTATTTCAGAATTGTCTTATTAACCCCCAACCCCTATCCTCAGGGGAACCGGAACACTCAGGCACATGGTATAATGCAAGTTAATTCCTCAAACTATAGCCCCTCGATTGTAAAGGGAGGACCCTAACGGTACAGGTACATATGGCAGGCTGCCCAGAATAGCAACATCGCAGCATCCTGGCCTGGGTGACAGCCCCCCCGGCTGTCATGCACATTTTTGGGGCGCTGCAGGGGCAGCTGTGGAGTCACTGCTCTTTGCAGTCAGCTGGAAGGTGCACATTATGAGTTTCTTTGGGGGCGACTGCAAGGACAGTGGGGAGGGGTTCCTTTGCTCTCCTTTTTTGGCTGGCCCCAGCGCACCCCGTGACCAGCCACTAGTTGCCATGTTCTTTGTCCTCTAGTTTGGACAAAGGAGAAGAGAAGATAAATCCTCCTCTGTAGCAGAGTCAGCTGGCTGAGTGCACCGGGAGCTGGGCCAACAATTTGTTTGAAGGTATGTACACAGCCCATCCTGGACAGAGCACACTGCAAACTCCCAGCCTGAGAGACAAAACCAGACTTGGTTTGAATGAGGCCGATTCGGCAGTTCCCTCAAAGACTATGGAGGCAAAGTCTATTCTAAAGGCTACAGTCTGCTCGCGTGGCCATCTGGAATAGGCACCAAGATTTTGCAAGTTCTTATTAGAGTTCAATCTTAATGATTCACTTTGTAGGTCATCTAAGGCCCCCTTCTGTGCCCGCCCTCCCTCTCTCATTTCAGCACTAAAGAGCAGTGATGTTTGATGCTCTGTTCTGACTTATCTATCGGGTGTACTGCTTGCCTCTGTTTGCATAAGAAATCAAGAGCAGACTTTGTCAACACATTTCTTTCAACAGGAGTGCTGGCTAGCTGACCAGTAGGCACAAGGTGGGTGAGCCAAGGTAGAGTGAACGGATAGATATAAACTGATGTCCACGAGGCTGACAATGAAAATGACTCATTTCATCACTGCCACCACCACCACCATCACGACTCCCTTTGTGACCTTTCGGGTTCACAAAGCCCTTTCCACACAGTATCTTATTTGATCCCAACACCAGTGCTGGGAGGCAGGCAGAGCTGGTAATAGTCTCCCCCACTTTAATGTAAAGAAAACTTGGGTTCAGACAGTTCAAGTGATCTGTCCAAGGTTGCACAGCTGGTGACCCGAGCCTTCTGCTTTCAATTCTTTACCATCCTTCTTCAATGATGTGCTTGACTGCCTGTTGAAGGAATACCCAATCTGCAGTTTTTTTTAAAGAAACCATCCACAAATTTCCGTCAGAGAAATTTACATAATGCTCTACATTTCTATAATAGTCTTGTTTCAATCTTTTTTCCCCAAGTAACTATCACTGTGGGGCACAGAATGTACTTTTAAGATGCACGTGTATTTTACCCCATTAAACTGCAAACTCCTGGAGGGTAGCTTAGGTTATATTTTATTACCGCCACTTATTGAGAGTTTATTTTGTGCCAGGTACAATGCCAAACCCTTGGAAGCCATTATATATTTTAATGCAAAATAATAAACCTGTCAGGTAGGTACTATAATTATTCCAATTGGAAAATGTGAAGTGAAACACAGAGAGGACGAGTAATTTGACTAAGGTCACACAGCCAAAAAGGTTCAAGCTGGGATTTAAATCCAGATCTGTCTGATTCCAGACCCTATGTTTCTACTTCACATACTTCCTCTCTCACATTCTTAGTTGAGCCCATGCCTCTCTGCTAGTGCCTCCCACTGACACGAGTACTCAAGAATAGTTTGCTGGGGAAAAAAAAGAGAGAGAACAGGTCAGTGTTGTTAATACAGTTCAAACCATTTGAAAGTATTTTCTCTATAACGGGAGAAAAATAAGTGGATAGTTGCCAGGGATGGGGGCATATAACCTGTGTGTAAGGGACAGGCACAAAAGACAGTGTTTGAAAGAAGTGAAATGAATGCTGTATACAGAGGTATGGAAACAGGGGTTGGTGGAATATGACAGAAGGTAGTATAGGTGGGATTAGGTGGGAACTTTAATCTTCCATGTTAGATAATTCCATACTCCATCATCTCAGAAAGCAACAATACGAGAGAGAGAGAGAGAGAGAGAGAAAGAGAAATCCTGCCCTACTCTCATTCCAAGATGAAGAGAATCCCTGAGGTTGTATGAAAAAGCTTAGGCTTTAGGGTCTCTCAGTTGAGTGGGTTTCTAACCAATTGTTCAAACATAGCCCCAAACATTTCTCATAGTAAAAACAGAGAGTGAATCCTGAGCTGCATCTTCATGCACACGCCAAATCACTTGAATAGTAATTACTCTATTTTTTCAAGTGCTTTATAAATTGACTAGATTCATGCACTGGTGGGGTCCCTCGGACTGGCCTGCAGGGATCAGGCCAAAACCATCCGGTGCACGGATTCATTTAGGGCAGCGGTTCTCAACCGTGGGTTGCGACCCCTTTGGGGGTCAAACGACCCTTTTATAGGGGTTGCCTAAGACCATCGGAAAAAGCATATATAATTACATATTGTTTTTGTGATTAATCACTATGCTTTAATTATGTTCAATTTGTAACAATGAAATTGGGGGTCACCACAACATGAGGAACTGTATTAAAGGGTCGCGGCATTAGGAAGGTTGAGAACCACTGGTCTAGGGTATGTCTGGCCCATCTTGCCCAGTCCCCATTGGCCAGACTCCAGCAGCAAGCTAACCTACCAGTCAGAGCATCTGCCCCCCCCTGGTGATCAGTGTGTGTCATAGCAACTGGTCGAATGGAACCAATGGTCAGGCCCTTAGCATATTAGGTTTTTATTATATAGGATTGTGTGGTAACCAACTGGAGTAACCATATTTTGAAACTCAATTTAGTTGCCAAGATTGCTTCCACTGTTCTATCCTCAGTCTTTTATTTTTTAATAAGTCTTATAGAAACAGGCAAGAGTCTACTCATTACAGTTCCCTTTGAATCAGGAGAGAGAGTAGTCAATTATCTCACAACAGAAGGGAGAACAGGGGAACCTCCTGAGGAATGGCATCCCTCCCACTTCACAG